TGCTCCCCATCTCGTCCTCGACCCTTGAGTACTTGTTGATCCGGGCCATCAGTTCCCCCATATCCGAGGGAGTCTTTTTGGTCAGGGATCGGTACAGGTCCGTGTCCCTCGCCAAGCCGAGCCGGAATGATGCTGCTGCCATGACCTCCGAGCATCCCTCGACCTCATTGACTTCTTCCCAGTATCGGATGGCGTACTGGCGAAGAGTCTCGGATTCCCTCCTCCTGAGGGTCAGCAGTGATCCAATGTCCTTGGGGCGCTTACTCCCCGTGATGAATCGGGTTAGGAACTGCCTTGTCAATTCTTTCCAGGACCCAATACTGTTTGGGGGAAGCGCCTCGAACCACCTCATCGCAGAGTCCCCCAAGCTCATAGGGAACACCCGGCATAGAAACCGTTGGTCCGAATGATAGAGGGACATCATCTGCTTATACTGTCTGATATGGGCATCGGGATCAGATCGCCCATCATAGGTCTTGAACCGTGGCACGACGAACTTTCTTGAGACATCCATCTCACTGATTTCCCTCGTGAAGGGTGTTTGCATGACTTCGTCCTCGGCCTCGTCCTGGATCGTCTTGCCCTTTCTTCTGGAGTCTAATCGGGCTCTGAGATCTACTTCTTCCCTTACGGGATGCCTCCTGGGCCTGGGCGTCGTGTAAATTGGGTTGAGTCCTCCTCGGATTCATCTCCCTTCCTCCATCTGGATAAACTCGCCGGAGGTCGTCTAGGGCCAATGGCCTTGCTTTCCTGGAGTGGTTGTCAAGATGGCATTCGCCGGCTTTGGGTCGCTTCGGGGCCCTGGAGTTTTCTGCTTTGTGATCCAGGTGGTTCCTTAGATCCTTTGTCTCCGCCTCATGGACGGGGAGTCCTCGGGAGAGGAATGAATCCCTCGACCCTCCGCCTGAGGCAGCAAACTCGTCGAGCCGGCTAAGGACGTTTACATTGTCTTTCTCCAGCTGACGTAATCTATCGCCAAATTTCTCTTCTATCACCTCTGCCAGTTGACGGGCCAAGGGGGCTGATCCTCCTGACCTGATCCCCATACTGGTTTGGGGGGTTACCCCCCTTGACCGAGTAGAGGCACTTTTAATCGTACTGGTCCGATCCCTCCCCCCGTGATGGCAGGGAGCTTGCAACTCATGACTCCTTTGGTAGGGTCCCTTCCCTTTCTGTCTGGTGTTCACCATGGTCACTGTTCTTTATAGAGAAAAGATTAGGAAAACTACTCATTTCCCACAGACGGCGCCAGATTGTGCGGGCTTGATCCTGCACGATATATAAAATATTGGGAACAGCTCTCTCCCCTGGTGAACTTTGAGCGGACCGGTTGAGTGGCCAAACACACTGCTTGAAACAGCCTACAAGGAACGGTGGCAACCCGGAACGGCAAAGGAAGATCCTGGGAAAGGAAGAACGATCCTGTACGTGCGAAAGGTATTTCCTGGGACAAAAAAGAACAAGTTAGAAGGGCGCCGGAGTGTTTTCCGGCGTATCCCCTCCGACGATCTAGTCAGTCTTTGAATGAGAGAGAGGGAGGGAAAAACACTGAGGATATTTTGTCGTAGTGAGTTTGTGATTGCATACCGGCTTTGCCTTTTGGGAGGAGTATTTATACCTCAGAAGCTCATGATTGCTGTCAGTGTGGTCAGTAGGTGATCATCAGGCACTGGTAGCGTGTGTATTGATTTGACGAGGAATGTCTTCTCTAATTGACTGCTCGGGGTCCCGAGCAATCAATGTTGAGTCGTCGGGACGCCGACGGTACAATATGCTCCTTTCGGGAAGGATGTAATAAATGCTCCGTAATAGGAGCATTTATTGCCTTTCATATCCGAACCTTACCGCATTGAATGCGGTCTCGTCAACAGAAGGGTGCAATTAATTGTTTGCTTCCCAAAGCGCATGTCAGCAATAGCATGCGGTTTGCCTGTTTTTGATGTGATATCGTATGCCACGCGTCCGTCACGTATTGGCTATGACTTCTGTATTCCAGCATGTTCTGACATTACTTGTGCAAGACGAGGTCATGATGAATAGTCTAGATTGGCATAGGCTGATGTCCCGTACGTCAGTAACTTTATCCGGGAGTAGAGGAATCGTCCAGGACGGAGTGACCCTCGGCACCGAGGAAAGGCTCACTTCGGGGACCAAGGGGCGGTGTGTTTAAGAGGTACATGGTGACCGAGGACACGTGTCGTTGTATAAATGCACCGAATATGTGATCCTATATGAGAGGTACCTCGGGGGAGAGGACGCCTTGCCGATGGTTCTTGAACCCGAGCAACATTGTTCTAGAAACCCCCGAGGACACGTGTCTTCATCATAGACTTTTCAGAAGAGTCCCATCAAAATCCATGCATGGTGAGTTCAAATTTCTCAGTTATGGAATCACCGATCCATGGTTGGAGAATTAATGGGATGATTTATTCACATGACAATAAATCCTAGATTGGGAATCAATAAATGTTGATTCCGTGCGGATGATGATAATCTTGATTAAGAATGATATTCTCAAATCTAAATGACATGACAATAAATTCTAGATTAGGAATCAATAAATGCTGACTCTATGCGGATAAGGTAATCTTGATTAAGAATGAACAATAGTGCTATGTTGACCAAAATAATAATCTAAATGACATAGCAGCATATTATTTGAAGTCTTTATTGGAGTCCGAATGACATGACACCAAATAAAGAAACTCAAATTAGCTGTCATGCCATTTAAACTAAAAATTTGGCCTAAAAATTTGGTCAGTCTAACATTATTGAAGAATGATATTCTCAAATCTAAATCTTAGATTACCTTGATTGAAAAATAATGACGGTGGTAATCTCATACCTACATTGATTGACTATCCACAAAAGGAATAAAAATCCCAAATAAAGTTGCTTCTTAAAATTAATTTCATTTTAGAAATTAAGTTCTCATTCTAAAATTAATATTTTTTCTAAAATTAAGTTTTTCCTAAAATAATTTGGCAATAACATTAATTTTCACTCTAGATTACTGATAATTTTCAAACATTAAATATGAGATTATTATGATTCTTAAAACCAGAAAATAAGATTACTGCAGTCCAAATGTACTCTAAGGGCACATTTGGATGACAGTAATTTTAATTGAGAATGAGTATTTCATTCCTAGTAATAAGATACCCGAGTTTCAATTACTGTAGTAATTTATATCCAGTGTTCGATTATTATCAATAATCTAATGTGAGAATTAATGTCATTTTCAAATTATTTTAGAAAATAATTTAATTTTAGAAAAGAGATTGATTTTAGGAGGAGAACTTTAATTTATGAAATGAAGTTAATTTTAAGAAGGATTTTTATTTTTTGGGATTTTTATTCTTTATATAGAATATTCAATCAATGTAGGTATGAGATTACTAGGAATTAGATTACGATAGTGATCATATTTCTGAGTTAGATTTTCGAATAATTGACTCTTCAAAGATGGTAATCTAGGGTTTAGGAATGAGAGTCTCATTACCAATCAAAATTGCTATCATAATACGAAATTAGTGGATATGAGTTTATTATTAGTGGATATGGACACTCATTAGGCTAGTTAAATATTGTTGTGAACAAGAACCCAAGTAAAACATGCTACAAAATTTTTATTTATTTATTTATTTATTTTTGAACAATACGCTACAAATTTGTTGAATATGATTATACATGGCATCATCCCGACAAAAAACATAAACTCAACTATACATGCCTCTATAAAAGGGTCGGGTGTGTGCCAAACGAATATTGACGGAGTGATACAAAACTCAATACGATTTATTGACCATCCTACTTCTCGGTATGAAAATAAATAAATAAATAAATAAATAAATAATGGGTATCAAAATTGTAAAAATATAGCATGCGACGGGCTGAGTCAGTAGTCCAGCCCAGCAAAAGCCCAGATACACGGCCTGCCCTTTTAGTGCCTGGACCAGGCCACGCAGGCCCTACCAGGACTTCATAAAACAATGTTGGTTAGATGGTTGTGGGTATAAACGACTTCAAATATTAATTTAATTTTTTTCAATAATTGTGATTGATTTAATTAACAAATCAATTCAATATTTTAAGTCGAAGTAATATTTTATTTTTTGAGTAATGTTACGCAATTCAAATATAATTTAAAATATTATAATTCAAATGCATATTATTTTTTAGATGAATGAGTTCCATTAACTTTTAAATGGGATCCACTCATTTAACACTCACGAAATACGTTTAGATTGGATTTTTTTGAGTTATATTTGGATTGTGTAATTTTTTTTTTTTGTTTTTTCATAAATCAAAGAGTGCACCACCACGTTAAGGAATTATGAAATTTACCAACCCCCAGCAAGTTAGCTGACAGTACTGCATTTGCCATTTACTTCCCTTCCAACCACGGACCGTGCAATACAACTACTACTATGCCAGCATAGTTTGCTTCGAACTACCTTCTTCTAATGTTCCCATTTGCCCAACTTGAAAGGTAGGAAACATTACCTCCGACGATGTTCTAAATTGTAATATGAACGAGTTGTAAATATAAATGTTCTAAATTAAATTTTGACAATCGTTTGAAATTAGGTCAAGAGAGATTTATCATTTTTTATGAATATTTTAGTCTTGACATGGATGATAAGTTTTTAACCGGATCAAGAAAAAATTAGTCGAGGTGCGCGTAAACTAATTAACCATAAAAACATTTTTTTCCCTAGGGAGTAACATTGCCTACAATTATTTTTTTCCATAAACGAGACATTATGAGTGCAGTCTTATTCCTTAGCTATTCCAAGTTTTCAAGCTGATCTTACAAGTTCACACAGAGCCAAGGTCCTAAAGACTCATTTTATCATCTTACAAATGACCCAAATACCCAGCTTCTTACCAAAGCTACCTATAATATGAAGTATCATTCAATTCCATTTAATGATCTCAACTGTGCTCTACCGCCCTTTTTTTTTTTCCTTTAAAAGGATATTCACAACGCTCATTCTGGTGTCAAGAGAGATGGCAAGGTGGTATATCATGCTTCTTCTTGCTCTTGCTGTAGCTCATACTACTGCTAGAGATGTGCCCAGTGCCAAGAGTCTCAGTGATCAAAAGAACGTCGTCTCCTTTGGTGGAGTCGGAGGCTACAGCGGCATTGGCGGTGATGGACTGCCTATTGGTGGAGTAGCTGGTGGAGTTGGCGCAGGTGGAGGTCTTGGTGGGGTCAATGGAATTGGAGGCATTGGTGGTGCAGTTGGGTTTGGTGGACTCGGCAGTGGCTTGGGTGGCGCTGGCGGCTTGGGAACTCTAGGTGGTGTCGGTGGTGGTGTTGGTGGCGGTGCTGGTGGTGGCACCGGTGTCCTTCCTTATCCTTGAAGTTATGGTTATATGTGTTCGCTTTGCGTCTAGTTAACTGTTCTATGTGTGCCAGTTGAAGTTAGTTGTGTTTCCTTTCAAGATTTCTATGTAATGTTATTTTAGTGAATTAACATTACTTTTTAATATATTAAAAGTCTAACGTAAAAGATTTAATTTTAAGGGCATAAAAGTTGATGATACAAAAAATAGAGAAGTAAAAATGGGAGAACTGAAGAGTAGGGGTGCAACTCGGACGGATTGGACAGTTAATTCTAACCCAACCTTATGTATATAATTTTCAACTCTAACTCTAATCATAACCCTACCTCAATTTAAGGTATTCAGCCCGATCACTGTCCGAGTTTAATTCAGGCGGACTCGAATTGAATTTGGGTTACTAATTTCGAATTATATTACGGATTCAATTCGTATTGAGTTCGAGTTGAGCTCAAAATAGACTTGTTGTTCTAAACTTGATACATAACGTATATTACATAATATTAACTTAAATTAATAACCAACAACTTCTTTTAACACAAAAAATTATAATATTAAGAATTTAATATTTGAGATAATGCAACCACAACTAAAACTCAATGTTTAACATAAACACATAATAGTAATTTAACACAAATACAAACAGAACACAAAACAAGAAAATTAAACCAAATGACACAGCCACTACCATTGCCACCAATCCATTGCTGCCACACCTGTCCATTGTTACTACAACACAACCACTATCCATTGTTAAAAATGTGAAAATAAAAATAAAAATTACATACTTGATTTGATTTGATCTGAGATCAATGAAGGGAAAGGTGTAGATGGTAGATCTGCTTTGAGATGAAATATGTTTTTTTGATCTGAGATGAGATATGATCTAAAATTTCCTTTCAAGTATAGATTTGATTTTTTTTCACTAATCTGAGATGAACGGAGAGTCACAGATGAAGGGAGAGGGAATGAGCGAGGGAGACAGAGAGAGAAAGAAGGGGCTGAGACTTTGAGATGACTAAGATGAAGGAGGCTAAGAGAGGGAGGAGGCATAGGTAGAGGGATCTGAGAGTGAGAGATAGATTTGAGAGTGAGAGTGAGAAAGAGATCTAGGTCTTCTGAGAGTGAGAGTGAGTAAGGGAGGCGCAATATGGATTGAAGATAGAAAACCTAGTAGAGTAACAGTTAAAACTTAAAATATATTTTATATATTTATTTAATATTCAGGTTGAACCAGGCAACCCGAGGTATCAAACCGAGGCCCGCCCAAATTTAATTCAAGTTGGAGTTTTTTAGTCTAGACCCAATTCAAGTATTAAAAATTCTAATCGAAGTCCTAAATTTATTAGGTTGAAATCGGGTTCGTCAGCCCAAGTTGCACCTCTATTGAAGAGCTCCTCCTTTGATTGGGGAATGAGTCAGGTGTGTGTAATAACATAAAAAGAAACACAAGGTTAATATGTAGTTTACCAAACTAAAAAGTGTGCTAGTCTATTCTATTAGAATCTCTTACTCCTCTAGTTTGAATTACTTGAAGAAAAAGAAGAGGACAAATACAATTGGTCTTTGGTTCAATAATACTTTTTATTTTGTGAAAATTTTACCTTCTTGAGGTCAATGGTTCAAACCCCTTTCCCTTCTCCCAAAAAAAGAAATACAACTTTTAGTGGATACAATTTTTCATCATTTCTTAGGAGATAATGATTTGCTTTATATACCCCTAGTCTCGTGATAAAATGGTCCTCTAATTTGTTAGCAAACCATCCAGATCCACTCAATCTCAAAATTATAGGATTCCATGCAACTGCATCCAACTTCCCTTTATAGGCCTGATTTATGCAGCAGTAGGAATCCAATTTTTTTTCTGGCCCAAACATTTCAAGCTAAAGACAGACTTCCTGAACGTTGTTTCTAAATGAAGAGGTCCATAAAATATGTCTTTTCCCAAGTATCAACCCATTTGGACCCTTAGAGGTTCTAACCATGCAACCTTTAGATCGCACAAACAATAGTTTCTCCGGTTCAGAAATGCATTGAATATATACTAAATTCCCAAGATGTTGTTTTTAACTAGAAAAATAAATGTTTGAGGTTAGAAGATTATGTTCAATGGATGTGCACACAGCATATTCCCTCATGATTTGAACAATGGATCATTCTTTCTTCAATGGATGGGTCGGATAGTGTTTCATGAGCTTGGGCTAGAGTCTTATCAGAACCCATGAGATTGTACAGATCTAGAACTTTTCACTATTTATGAATTTTTAAGTGTCCTTTTGGAGAATTGGGATCAAGGCCATTGACGTTGAC